AAGCTCACTTCTGGGTCTGAGGGTAACTCATAGCATAGTCTTGGGGTTCCACCAGTAATTTTTAGTTTCACATTTTTCTCACACTGTATTCAAGATCTTTTAATGCCATCTCTTCCACAAAGATCAATAGTGGTAGTTGGGCACCATCTAGTTCTGCTGCTCTCAAGATTGTGAAGCCTGTGGTGTATGTAATAATATAGATATTATTTAAATTATGTACATATACCATTGCAAAAAAGATATAAAAGTGGGGGGCTTAAGGCAATGAGATAAAAAATACATGAGATTTCAAAACATTCATATAAATAATGAATTCATATAAATTTTCCCCATGAATTTTATGAAGCCCCCTAGCATATATCTAAATATAAGGTAACGTCACCTGTTATGGGTTTGAGTAAATTAAGACCACAACAACGTCCAAATCCGATTATGTGACGCCTTTATTATAGCAGGCTAGCCCAGACTGGAGAGGGGACATTAAAAGGTATAGTCTGCCATGCTGCAGGTCCAATGTTTCTTAGGCCAACCCTTTTATACTATTCAGGAAGCAAGCAGGGTACAGAAAGCAGAAAAACATGTTAAAATTTCATATATCATTAAGTAAGCGATATTGACAGAGCAAAAATAAAATGGATTTAAGCAAAGCCCTATTTTATGACTCTTCCCTGGTTCTTGCCTTTAGTTAAGCATCCCTGGGAAAGAAAAAATAAGCACATCTGCTCTGGGGATAATGACTTACTGGTCCTCTCTGATAAGGAAAAGTTTAAACAAGGTTTGCCCTAAGGACATTTACTGGTCGGGCATTCCATTCAAGTGATGATAAAACACAGGTGGCATTAGACAGAACAAAGGCCAAGTTCAATGGTGAGGTTTGTCCAAAAGATGGGGGTGGGGTGAGGGCTTCCTGGAGCAGAGGAATTTTTGTGGTGATTTTACCTTAGCCTTTGGGTCAATTAAAAACTGGGGTGACAAGAGCTGTCTCCTTCACAACCATGATCTTAAAATTAAGGCAGCTACTTTATTCTGAACTAGAAAGTGGCACAAGCAATTGAAAGTGTGCCCCATAGGGAGGGTACTTCCCTGTCCACTCTCCTCTCAGGGCGCAATTTTGGGAGAAAAAGTATATTTCTTTAGTTATGCCACCTATTCAATGTTTTTATTAAAACAGAAGAGGCAAAAAAAAAATAAATTAAAAAAAATAAAAAACAAAAAAAACAGAAGAGGCATTGGTTGATATCTAGACTAAAGTTTAAGAATACCATCAAGAGAATGCACGTAAGTAGTTAAGAGCATATTTATGACGAGCTGCCCTTCTGAAAGAAAGATTTGGAGTTTTGTATAACAAATTAGAGAGATTTGTACCTCAGAATTGCTAAGTAGCAATTCTGGATTTTCTGGATCTAAGGTTTCATTCAGGTTAAAGTAGAATCAATGTATTCACACAGGGCTATGGAACCATGATTCTTGTTTTAATTAGAGAAAACTATGGGTATATATTTATAGGTTTAGTATTAAGGTAGCAGAAGGGCATTGGG